GCCTCTACGCAGCTGACTTAGATAGCGACAGTTCAGTATCTCACATTGGAAGTCTAGGTGGTTCCAGGGTTGCTTTACACAGCAGCTGAAGGGTGTCACCAAAGATCCCATTTCCTCCATTTTTTTCCCTGGAATCTTCAGTATTTGGGGTTGTCCTCAAGCTAGTTCCCCTCATGGTCACAGGATGGCTGCCACTGTTCCAGGCATTGCACTCAGATGTGGTAAGATCTTTGAGGAGAAGGGGGACTGATTTTACCTGTGCTTCTCTCATCCGTGAGGACCCCTCACTGTAGACATCACCTAGCAGACTCCTTCAATCTGCAGTGGCCGGACTGCACTCTATGCCCTGAAGGACATGCAGCCATGACCAGCTCGAACCAATCACAACTCCCCTCCTGGCTGTGGCCGGGCCCACCTCCCCCAAGAATGTGGTGGCAGAAAGTGTCCCCCAAACCTGAGGCCTGCTGGAACCGGGGGTGGGGGGACGGCAGCTGTGTGATCAACCAGCACGGTGGGCAGCGGGCCGTCTCCGGCCAGTGAATGTCCCCTTCAGGGTTTCAGGACGGTCTGGGCACAGCAAGCGATGCTCCAGGCGCAGCCAGTCCGCAAGGAAGCTGCAGAGCATCAGCGGGTGGGGAGCGGCGTGGCCTCCGCCCGCCCGCGCTTCCCCGGCGCCCACGCGGCTCGTTCCCCGAGGCCTGTCGGCAGTTTGCTCCATCGTTTCCCTCCCAGCGAGGCCTTCCTGCGACCCCGGCCCAGGGCAGCCCTCACGGCACCTGCTGGAGCCATCCTCCTCAGCGTCTCTGCTGGACGTATGTTGTTCGCTTGTCTCTCTTGCTAATTATCCATCTTCTTCTCGCGGGAGGAATACTGTTTGTTTTGCTCACTATTCCCAGCGCCTAGATCAGTACCAGCATATAGTAAGCGCTCAATCAATCCTCCTCCCTGGTGGCAGATCAGAATCCCCCAGGGAGCCTGCAGGAAAAGCAGGTTCCTAGGCCGCCTCCCAGGCCTGCGGATCCAGGTCTCGTGTTGCAGGCCCAGCGCCTGGAGCCCCTCCTCGGCCATCCTGCACAGACGTGGGAAAGTCACTCAGCAGAGGGAAGCGGGTGGTCAGCCGGGGACCAGGTTCTGCACAGTCATCCAGTGTGAGGACAGAGGTGTTCCCTGTACCGAGCACCTTCTGTCCCCAGCAGTGTCATCCAGTGAGACACAGGGGTGACCGCGTGGGGAGCGCAGGGAACGGGGACAAGCAGTCACATGGTGGAGAGTCAAGAGTGACTAGAAACGGCAGATTCGACGTGTGGATGGCACAGGAGGAGGAGTGAAGACAGCCCTAGTGGGAGGAAGGGAGGTTTGTAACACGAGAGCCGTGACGTAAATTAAAAATATATGCCTGGGGCTTGGCGGATTTCTTAAAACACAAAAAGCACTAATTGTAAGAGAAAAATTAATAACTTAGGCTTCATGAAGATGAAGAGCATTTATAATTGTGTCAAAACGCACCATTAGAAGATTGAAAGGCAACGGCCCACTGAGAAGGTGTGGTTCCCTTTCCAGTAAGAGAGGCTCCATGGGGACACATAGCGGATGAAGACAAATCCACACTGAAAAATGGGCTAGAAAGTGCTCGGGCGCGTCCCCAAGACCACACGTGAGCGGCCAGGACCACACATGCAGCATCCGTGCTCCCCACCTGGGGTCACCTGGGAAACACAGACTAGACCACCAGACACCGTGCACCCCGCCAGAGGGGACCTGTTAGAACTGGCTGTGCTCCTGGCGGGGAGGGTCACAGGGCATGACTTGCAGCCCATCAGGGGGCCTGCTTCCCTGCGACCCCTCCGTCCACGGGGACAAGCCCAGACGTGCGCCAGGAGCCGTGCACAGAAATGTTCACGGCAGCCCTGGCCACATGCCCTCGAAGGCCCACCCACAGGTCTGGCAGGTCAGAGGCTCTTGAGACCGATGCCTCAGACAAGAAGTGAGGGCGGAGCTGGGTGCAGAAGGCGGGTGGGAAGGCCACGAAGACCGCAGGCTGCGTTACCTATGCCTGTGAAATTCGGGAAAGGAATCTACCATGACAGGAGTCAGAAGCCTGGGCTTTTCGGGGGCTGATTTTGGTGGAGGCCGGGCAGGACATGTTCTACAGCTCAGCCTGGCGTGGGTCACCACACGCACCCAGACATGCACGTACAGGTGTGTGTAAGGCTCACTGAGCCGTCCGCTGAAGGGTCTGCAGGGTGGATGTGGACGTGTGACAGCTCCACGCAAATGAAACGCATTCACACGCACAGAACAACACACGCTTTGGAAGCACACGTGCAAACAGCAGGGCCCACGTCAGCTCAACAGAAGGGCTGTGGGTTGTTGGGAAGGAAGGGACTGGACTCGGGGTCAGGGCAGGCACAGGAAGAGATGACCAGAATGAGAAGTGCTCTTGTTCAAACCGATAATGGAGGGCTATATACACTAAGGCGTACGACTAATTAGCCCAAGACAGGGACTGAGAGAGAAATTGTGAAAATAAAGGTCCCAGCTAAGGACTCCCAGCCGTCAGTCAGCAGTGCTCACCTTGGTGTCTGAGGAGGAACCCTTCTGTGTGAGTCAGGCCACCAGTGACAACTCTTGGTCTGGGAGGGCCCCCTGATTTGTGGTGTTTCGGGAACATAGTGGTTTGGGTTGAACTGTGTCCCCCCAGATGTGTATGCTGAAGCCCTAACCCCCAGGACCTGGGAACGTGACCTCATTTGGAGCTCGGAGGAGCAGGGAGGGCCCTAGTCCCACACGACAGGCGTCCTTACGAAGGGGACATTGGAGGCAGAGGCAGGTATCCCGCGTGAGGGTGAATCAGAGCCAGTGCGATGCTTCTGAGCACCGAGGAGCCCTGCCGATGGCCAGAAACCACGGGGGGTGAGCAGGGGCACGGACCAGGCTCTTCCTCGCGGCCCCCAGAAGGAACCAGCCCTGCCAGCATCGCGGTCTGACGTCTGGCCTCCAGACCGCAGGACAATGCATCTCTGTTGTTTAAGCCTGTGGTGCTTTGCTCTGCGGCCCAAGGAACCCGGTGCAGGCGGGCCACCAGGGTCTGAATCCCTCCCTCTGGGTCCCGGACCCTCCCACCTAATGGGAGGGAATCAAGGATGACTGCCCCACTGGGCGGGAGGTGGCTTGAGTTGAAGGGTGGGGACACCCGGGGGTGGATTTTGGAAGGGGTGTGGGGTGACTGCGGGGCACCCCCCGGGGCAGCACGGGTCAGGGAGGCATGGCAGGGCGATCAGGGCAGGTAGGCAGTTAGGAAGGATGCCAGGGGGCAGGTGAAGGGGGCCGGTGCACGCACACGTGTGTGCATGCGTGCGCGTGCACCCGTGTGCGTGTCCTGAGGAGACTGAGAAGTTACAGGGAAACACAGGGAGAGGCACCAGCAGGGAAACTGGTCCTCTGAGAACCCCGGGCCCCTTCCCTGCCTTCCCTCCTGGGCTTGCTGGGAACACTCCTTAATTAATGCCTGTAAAACGCTTTGCTGGAAGCGGCAACAGCAGCTCTATAAATAAACCCAGACTTCTGAAGGTTGACTAATGCCTGAGCCCTCGGGGGAGCGGAGCGTGCTGCGAGGCTGGGGGAGGGGCGGCAGAGGAGCTGAGGCCCGGGCCCTGGTCCACGGAGACCGACGAGCCCCAGGCCTGTGTCTGCAGCAGTAAAATCAAGGAGGATCTGCATCTTCACGCTCCTCGGCCATCGGCACCGCTGGCCGAGGTCACAGCGTGGGCTGCAGCTCAGCTCCGAGAGGTTTGGGGGAAGCGGCGGGGGGCCACGTGGCCAGCCTGGCCCACAACAGTGATGTGGCCACCGGGACACTGGCTCCCTGAGGGAGGCCCAGGAAAGGCATGCCACTTGCCCAGTGACCCCGTGGAGGCAACACAGACGGCAAAGCCACTCAGTGTCCTTCGAAGATCCCCGTCCTGGGCGCGGAGGCAGAGGAAGCGGTGGCCATTTCACACCCTGCAGCACCCTGGCCGGCTTTGGTGGTGGCCTTCCCTGAACTTACATCTTAACCAGAAAGGAAGGACCTCAAAGCACAAAGGAAGCTGGCTGTCAGAGCTGAAAGTTCAAACCCTTCGATGACAAGGAGGCTGTGGCTAGGGCCTGGCTTACGTTCCACACGGCAGACGTGCCCCGGAGCCAGGCCCCGAGGTGCCGCTCGCCCACAGCCCGACTTCCTTCGGGCCGAGTCCAGGCCACCTCCTGCGTGGCTTGGGTACACGGAGACTCGGGCGGGGACGCAGGTGGGGACCACCCCTCCCGTGGGCCCAGGATGCCCGCATCCGGGCCTCTGGCCGGCGCGGTTACTAACAGCTCATGCTCAGAGCAGCCTGGTTTGGGTGACTGCTTACGTGGTCACCCTGCTGACGGGCACCTGGGTGGCACGAGGATGAGGCCGAAGGCCCAGGACCCTTGGCCTCAGGTCGGAAAGGACCTCTGTCCAACGCAAAATCCATCCCAAAGGTTCTGGGCTTCAGCTGATGTCGTGCTGAGTGGAGAGGTTCACTCTGCCCCCGGGGGTGGGGTGTGAGGGAGAGAAGGGAGGTACCCCAGGGCCTGTGAGAAAAGGGCCCACACCCCAAGTCAGGGGTGGTCCCCACGGGGCCAACTCTCGTGCACAAAACGGCTGCAGTGGCGCCTGGGTCTCGGGCTTTCTGGGCCTGGAACAGCAAAGAGCTCCCCAGGGTGAGGCGCTACCTTCTGTTAGCAAGTCCACCACCCCGCGTCTTCTCGCTGGGGACGCGGACGTGCAGAGCAGGGAGAGGCCGTGTAGCCGGTCTCCTGGGCCCTGCTCCGTCCTCTGCCGCTCTGGCTCCAGGTGCTCACGTCAGGCAGGTCCTGCCGGCAGCCGGAGAAGTCGCCACCCCGCTTCAATCTGTTCCACCAGGCGCACATCTGCGGGGCCCAGTGCCAAGTGCCGCTGCCTCCCTTGGGAGGACCCGGGGTGGGGGGTGACAGCTGGGTGGGCGGGGCCGGGCTCGCCAGGGGGCCCGTCTGGGAAACACGCAGAGACACAGCCGCTCTGCCCGAGGAGGGGGAGCCCTCAGGAGAGACTCTGCTGAAAGCCACACACTGACCCCCAGGGACATAAGAGGCGGACGTCCATGGAGCATCAGGATCTGACCCCGGAGGCGTCAGTCTGGGCCCAGGGCACCCAGGACCTCACTCCTGAGACTGACCCTGTTCTGCTGGCATCTGCACCCCAGGGGGGGGGGGGCGGGTTTGGGAAGTACAGGTACCAGCTCGGGCTCTCCTTCCCCCAGTCCGGGCCAGCCTGCGATCGCGGCCACACTGCCCCTGCGTGCCAGCCCCGTGGGCAGCTCGGCGGGTGGGGACGGAACAGCTCTGCCTCTGAGTGGACGGAGGGAGGGGCAGCCGCGGGAAGAAACCAACTCTGAGCTTCAGGCGCGTCAGTGCCGAGCCTGGCAGGTTTCGGGGAGGGACACACGAGATGCGGCCCCGAGTGGGGAGAGCGGCGCTGGGCGTGGGGGTGCTGAGTAGGCCGCCTGCTCTTGTTAGTATGTTATTATTATTACTAGCTCCCAGCACTTGCTCACCGAGCCTCATTGTCCCCTTCGCCCGAGCCAGGAACCAGCCCTGGCGGCTCCGTCACGACTCATCCACACATGAGCCATAACCAGGTCTCACGGACTTTGCTTCCTAAATATTTCTTCAATCCGCATCCTCTCTCTGTGTTTAAATCTCAGCTTCCATTGCCTTGGACCAGGCCCTGGTCCTTCAGAGGAGCCTCCGCTGCCCATCTTCTCCCCGAGTCCCTGCCCCGCCCCTCCCTGCAGTGATGGGTGGGAGGTGAGGGTCCGGCCGGAGGGTCCTGGAAAAGACACGGCTCCGGCAGGGTGCAGACACCCGCTCTGGGCTGGGCCTCTTGCCGGCGGTGCAGCCTGTCCACTCAGCATGTCAGGCGTGGGTTTCCCGTGGTGCCAGTTTCTTAGCCTCTGGGCACACAGGGCCGACTGACACGTACACAGCAGGGAATGAAACTTAAGGAGCTTACAACCATGGAAAGCGCAGTGGGCACAACATAGAAAAGATTTCTGCACGGATTTACGGCAGAGCCAGAAAGGCAACCAAGACGGGCTGGGAGGCCCCACCCCAGCTGCCGGCGCGAAGGGCACCACCCTCCTGCCCGTGGCACACCCAGGCCGCCATCCGGCAGGAAATGCCACCGCGGACACTGGCGGGCTCTGCCCCAGCGAGGACTTCCCTGTTCCCGCGACAGACACAGGGGGACTGGCTTTTCCCCGGAGCTTACAGTCGAGGGAGGACACGGGGGCTGGGAGGAGAGCCCAGATCTCCTTGACCCCGAGAGCTCGTCATCAGAGAAGACACGGAGCGTGGCCGCCTGGGTGCCATCCTGGTCCATGGAGCCGGTAGATGTGTTGTGCTGAGAAATGCGGCCGCGGCAGGCATCGCCTCCCAGCCAGGTGTCGGGTTACGTCTTCCAGACTCGCCTGTGGGCACAGCTGGCTGGGACCTCTTCCTCCAGGCCCGGGCCCTGCGGCCCAGCACCCTGAGCCGGGAGGTCCCGCCACCCGCTCCAGTGTCCGTCCAGCACCTGCTGACCTCAGGGAAGCCCCACCTTGACTTGTACCCAGGAGGTTGGTGATCCCAGCCTTTTAGACTCTGGCTCACACCTGCCGGTCCCCCACCTCTCTCTTGCATCTAGAACATTCTCTACTTCCTCCCCGCTGTGCCCCCAGTTACCTCGCCCAGGAGGCCGGCTGTGCCACTGCTCAGAGCCGCCGCCAGGGGAACGGTCGGCAGTGCTCTGCTTTCAGCCGCCCCGCGGTGTTTTAAGACCACAGTCTGCACACACAGGTTTTATTTGTGTGCTTCTCTCCAGGCTCTGTTAGGAGGCATTACTCATAACCCAGTTTGGTGGAAATCTATTGAGATACTCAAGGTTGAGTTAAATACACCAAGTATTTGTAACCGCCCCTCTCCCCCCACTAATTGTACGAGAGGTGGGTGCTGAGGATTTGAAACCTGAAAACCAAGCATTCAGCAACATGCTGGGGAGATGCACCCATCTGTAGCCAGGCAACTTTCCACGATGCAGAGCTGCTCCCGCCTGCCGGCTGCAGACGACACATGTGACCTCAAAGAGGGCTCCAAGCTCCAAAGCCTGGAAGCACCTGAGTTCTCTGAAAAGAGAGAAGGAGGCACGGGTCTGAACGGAGCAGCAGGTGGAAAGGCAGTGGCTCTTTTGTTGGCGGTAGCGAGCAGCTGGGCTGTGGAGACGTCGTGCCCGACGCTGTACCTGGGGGGTGGGGTCAGTCCTACGCTCCTCTCCCGCCTGCGTCTGGGTGACATCCTGCCCGACACGTGCGGCCTGGCATTCAGAGGCCTGGACCTGACGTGACAGCTCCCGTCCCTGGGGCCACACACCAGGGACACCGGTCTTCACGGTGTCCGCTGATGTGTCCTCTGGCTGGGGCCGGTCAGCGGCTGGAACTTCCTCTGCAGGACGTGTGTCCTCCGACGTGCACTTCCCCTTCAGGAGAAGAGACCGCAGTCCTTCCTGTCCTGGGCCAGGACCCGCGGGCCGTGCCCAGTGTCTGAGGAAGAAGGGACACCTGGGATGCAAGCGATGCGGCACCCAGGCTGGAGTCTCCGCCAGCCGCCTGGGGAAAGGGTGGGTGGGAGTCGCAGGGTCGGGGCACGGGAGGTTCCTGAGGGTGCTGACGAGGGTTCTCACCCCCTGAATGGGGAGATGAGAGCGTGCGTCTTTGCAGGGACCGTCCAGGACTGTAGGGCCTAACAGCACCTCCTCCTCCGGCGGGGGGCAAGGCCCTGGGTTACTCGGACTGACGTGTGTGTCTTGAGGAGCTCAGGGCGCCTCCTTTGGGGGGAAGGGGTGAGGCGCACTGCCCCCCATCATCCATAAAGGAGTGAGGGAGAAGAGGGTGCAGCGGTGTCCTGTGGGCGGCAGGCGAGGGCGCTCCGGCCGCCGCGGGCCTCACCCCAGCGGGACCCCCGTCGGGCAGGATGGAGCCTGTGCCTCTCAGCCCGAGGAGCCATTTCCCTACATGGCTCCCATCTAATCCCTGTGACGACCTGAGAGCTGCGCACTGCTTTCGTTTGCAGATGAAAGAACAGCATCTCAGACGAGGTCCCTGGTCCAGGACGTGAGGGCAAGTCCGCCTGACCAAGGCCCCGTGTTCTGTCCCTGCACCAGGCAGAAGCAACTTCAGTCACTTCTCCAGGGTTGAAATCCAGTGCCCGGGATAACGCTGCTCAGGGACCCATCTCAGGCTTCCTTCCCCTTGGAATTCAATTGGCTTCAAGCTGCTGCCGGAAGCCAGAGACATGGAGGAGGGCGTCCAGGATGGTCTCAGAATTTGGGGTGAGGTGGGAAAAAGGAAGTGAGTTTACATGTGAGATCTAGTCCTGGGTGCTTAGATAACCCTGCAATCCATTTCCCGGACCCTCCAGAGAAAGGTCTTTGGACAAAGCAGCTCTCACCTGCTTCCCACACAGAGGAAATCAGCTCTTCATCTCTGAGCCCTTTGAAAGGGGGCTCAGTCTTTGGTCTGAACAAGCTGCGCCTGTCACTTTTAAAGTGGTTCATTCCAGTAGAGGATGGAGGATTTGTTTTCAAAACAGACCCCTGTGGTGCTGACCTAGAAAGGTGCAGTGACGCCTGCGGTGTGGGTCTGACCACACCGGGCACGGGGGTCCCTCCAGCCACAGCGCACGGCCACCTTTTCATGGTAGGTGCTGCAACTGGGATTTCTATGCTATTTATATAACAATCAAGTAAAGGAACACATATTTCAGGAATTAGCCACTTGCTACCACAAATATATGAGAAGAATTTTCAGCGGGATTCATTTCTCCCCGGCTGGAGAAGCCACCCTAAACGTGTAATTCAGATCGAAGACGTGCCCGCGGGTTTTAAAGGTCGCCCGCGGTCTGGGAGACGGTGGAGTTTGCTCCGGTTTGAGTGTGTGCCGCCGAGGTGAGCGTCACCAATGCAGGGCAACAGGGCCGTGTGTCTCCCCTTGCCCCACACTCCCCATAAGAGCCCTGAAACGCTGCACACGCGATGACGAGCTTCAGGGATTCTGTGGTCTGTCAGGGCGTTAGGCGCTACAGGAGACGGAGAAGCAGAGGGAGGCGTCCCTTCCTGACTCAGGAGGGAACGGCGGCCCCGGCAAGGTGGGCCGGGCCCTCCTCGAAGGGAAGGCGCCCTTCTGTGGGCGGGCGGAGGGGAGGCGCTCCCTTGCCTGGTCATGCGCCTACCCCAGGTCTGAGCTCCCAGTTCACCTCTGGGCATCAGAAGCTGTGAGGAAACCTCCTTCCCTGCCTCCTTTGTGACCCCTAAAAGGAGAACGAGGCCCAGCTCCTGTGTGGGCCTCTAGAGATCCTTTTATGGTCCAAGAATAAACAGGGCTATAGAAACACAAAGCTCACTTTATCTCCAGTGCGCAGCAGGGACCAATTCCGGGGCCGACTCAACCCGGGGGAGGGCTGGGGGGAGAGCAGGCCCTCGTCTCTGTGAACACGAATCGTCAGTGCGCTCCACGACCTCAAGAATCCTCGCTGTCCTGCCCGCACTCCACTGCCTCCCCACAGAGGCTTAAGGACCGGCCTTAAAGTCTTCTCTGACCTTCGTCTCAGCACGTTTTGCTGAAAATGGTGAAACGTTCCTTCGGAAGCAGGCAGGCTTCTGCTGGAAGGAGCGGACCAGACGCGGTGTTGCTGGAAATCTGGGCCATCTGTGGACCCCTAAACAACTCCCCCCTGGAAACTGGCGAGAAGTACCTTTAGAGATCGTTTCCCTTCGAAGGCCCAACGGATGTTTACAAAGGAAAGGTTTACTTTGTCTGGAAGAGGCTGGCGAGGCGCGTCAGTGGTCACGGGCTGACACCGCCACCTGGCGGTCGGCACGTTCTCCGAGTTCCAGAAATAACCGGGGCTGCTAATAAGAAAGAAACCACGTTCCCAGAACACCCCTTCCCACAGAGAGAGAACTCATCTAGAAATGGCCCAGTACATATAAGAAAAAATCATTTAAGCTGGGTATTTACCGTGTGATATGAGCAAAGGACTTTTCCTACCCACTCAATTCTTGGTACCAGGTGCATTGAAGAATGTAATGAAAAAACTGCGTGACTGAAAAAAGCCTGAAGCATTTTACTTCATATAAGACATACTTTAAAAAAAGGCAGAAACATTTAGGGAAACAACCTGTGACCTGAAAGAACCTCAAGCCGGAAGGCCCTGGAGATCAGTCTTGAAATGTTTTGCTTTCACAGAGTCTTTTTCACGCTGAAGAGATAAGCTTCGTAGATTATATTTAAGAAGTTGTCGTCATTCTGGAAAACACAAATCAAAGGCCCCAGGGGATGTGACTTGGCCGGCAGAAACGAGAGGCCTTCTGTCTCGGGGCTGAACGGGCACCTTGATCCTAAGATGCTCCTCCCCACCTGTGCGTGCCCACGGCGGCCAGTTTTTAAGCTGAACAGTCAGTGGGGCTGCAGGCCAGGCCAGAAGGGTCAGCTGCTGGTCCTCGGTGGCCAGCCCGGGACATGGCAGGTGCTCGTGGCCTGCAGCTCAGGCGGGCACCAGCCTCGGAGCAGCGCGGAGCGGGCCGGCTCCCGAGAAGCCTGGCCTCCTGTGTGGAGAGACCTGGGGCCCCCGGGAGGCTGCACGGGGAGGACGTAACCCAGCTCAGTCCTCTGAGCCTGGCTGGGGGGTCACTGGTGGCTCTGAGAGGTCCCCGAGTCGCCCACAAGGGGTGCCTTCGTTGTTGGGCGTAAGTTAAGACTTCCCTGGCAACGTGCTTGGCTGGTACCCTGCCAGAGCCAGTGCGTCTCCACCCCACTGCACCACCCCCGTTAGCTACGGAGAGCTCTGGCCTTGGCAAGCTGGCAGTGGTGAGACTGCGGGCTCTGGGCCCCTGCTGCCACTCTCGGGGCCGAGGGAACCACGGTTCCATCGGTGGTTTTCTCTGTCTCTGATGCTGGAGACGCGGCTCCCTCCCACCCCGTCCTTTATCGCCCTGGCAATTCACCCGCGTTTCACACTCCCGCTTGGCCTGGAGCCAGGCTACCCTGGCTTTCCTGCAAAGTCTCCGAGCACGAGCCTGTGTCCTAACAGCAGGCAGAGAGCAAAGCCGAATGCCTGAGTGACTCCCAGCAGCTCATGGGGAAGATGCCGTCTAAATCGCGGGAACGTGAAACGCAGGCCGGGTGGAGGGAACGGACGTCTGGTCTCTAACGAGCAAGGTCCAGGGGCTGCTCCAGACTTTAGGGGTCCCCACTACTGCACAGAGATCTTTGGAACAGTGTTATTAAATGGAATAAGCCAGAAAAAATGTGGAACTTTTTACATTCAAGTTTTTTGTTTATTGCTCACAGAAAAGGAGCTTACAGATGCCCTACCTAAGTCCTCAAGAACTTCACATGAATGGCTTCTAGAAAAGGTGGAAAAGACCCTCATTTATGAATTAGGTGCGGTCACTTCTCGTCTGTCTTTAGCAGATTGCTACCCTGGTTTCACACTCAGATGCTGATTTCTGTCCCCATTCCATTCCTTCTCTCTAAAATACGTTACCTTTAAAGAAACATTCTTACCAACGGCGACTACTGTCTTTTTGAGTGGGATGAGACGAGCAAAAGTGCTGGCCGCTCTCAAGGTCGCCTGACACTCAAGCAAAAACCTTACGGACTGTCTGTCTGCGAAAAAGATACCTCAGTACGTGAGCTGGGGTGTCTGCGGTCCGTCTGGGTGAGCGCACTGCACTTTGCAAGGCCTGTCTCGCGTTCGGGGTGGGCTCTGCCATCTCCCGGCCCCGTCGTGCAGTGGGAAGGGGCACGGCAGCCAGGCTGCAGCCCCAGCTCTGCTCTTTACTGGCTGGTGACCTCAGGCCAGTCCCTCAGCCTCAGCGTCCTGGTGTCTAACACCGTGCCCGGCCCGGAGCTCTGTACAAGTGTCATCGCCCTTATTACTTCATAGGGGCACGAGGAAGCCATCCCAGCCTGTCCTCACTGGCAGGTTTCAAGGTCATCTATAAAACATGCCGTGGTCATCACAGCCATGCCTGCCGCCCCAGCTGCATCCTCCCCGAGTAGCGGCCTGGGCGCTGCCGCGGGCTCAGGGCAGCCCTCCCCTCCACTGCCCTCTGGCTCCCGACAGCCCCACAGACCCGGGACCCTCCCAGGGGCGGCTTCACCTCCTCCTCTTCTGCCGGACGGCACTTGAGGACTTAGCCCTCCAAGTCACAACATCCAGAGCCACGCTGAGTGTCTGAAACGCACCCAGAAGCGCTGGTCTCGGGGTGAGCTGCTGCCCTTGGGGAGCAGGAGGCGGGCACAGGCACCAGCAGGGCAGCAGGCCGCTGGGAAAGGCCTACGAGGAGGGAGGCGGCGTCCTCCTACCTGGATGAGGTGCAGCAGGGCCTCCTGGAGCTGCGGTTTGGTCAGGGCACTGCCCGGCGTTCTGGGGGGCTCCGGCGTCCGCAGGGGCAGGAGGGAGCCGCTGGGGGTGGCCGCCGGGTCCTGGCTTCCCGGGGGCAAGAGCCCGCTGCCCCTCTCTGGCGGTGGGGCCCAGGGGGCCTGCGCGAACACCAGTGGCGACATGAGCGGAGATGGGCCCGCGGCGGGCGGGGCGCGCCGGGGCGAGAGGACCTGCAGGTGGGAAACGGGCCGACGGGCGGGTGGGTGAGGGCGGCTCGCGCACGGGGCGGGTGCAGAGAACACAGAGGACACAGCGGGCTCAGTGTTAGCCATCCAGGGCCGAGGGCGACGGGAGGCCAGCCTCCATCTGCACGCTCCTCCCTCCTGGGCACTGGCGGCCGGCGCCTGCTGTCCTGACTATGCTCCCCACGGCAGGCAAAGCTCGCGCTCTGAGCAGCACCTCCTTTCTCCGGCTTCCTGTCATCGCCTGGGGACACACGCCAGGACCCCAGCCTTTCCGCCAGGGCTGTCCATCTGCGTCCCTCCCGGCTGTGGCCCCAAGTTTTCGCCGTAAGGGACCCACCGGCGGCCGCCTGCCCCCTCGCCTGGTGCGGCGGGGCGGGCAGGCGGTGGGATCACCGTCCACCCCACCTCCTGACTCTCCGTGCTCGGGTCTCGGGGGCAGCCCTGGGGCCACTCCTGCAGGCGTGCAGGTGGCCCGTCTGTCTGGGCGGGTCTGTCCGCCTCTCTTGGCCAGCAGGCCTAAAACCAGGGGTCCCAAGAGTGTTTCCAGTTGTGCAGGCGACATCTGACCCACCTGATGCTTACAGCCACCTCCCACTTGTCCCCAGCTCAGGTGAGAGGGAAGAGCGCTACCGTTAGCCCCCCGAAGCCCAGGGGCTCATGAGAACAGGCACAGGGCCAGCCACGAGGAGCTGCTGTGGTTTCAGAAGCCCCCTGGGCGTCGTCTTGGGCACAGAGCAGCCTGGAGGAAGGCGGGTGGCCGGCTTAACTGTCCCTGCGCGCCGTCGCGAGGGGCGGTGGCTTCGTGGGCAGTCAGAGGGGCACCGCGGCCCTGTACCCCGCGAGCACTGGAAGGGGACCTGCCTGCAGAGGCAGATGGCCAATGATTAGCCCCGATTTCCTAGGGTCCAATCTAAATCCGCAGGGGCAAAAGCAGAAGAAGAGGGGCACTGTGACAGTGAAGTGAGGGTGAGGGCGGGGAACAGCCATGTCTCCAGAGCGGCAGGAACTCAGATCTGAGATTTTCATCAGTAACAGGCAAGAACACTGCAACGCACAGTCTTACATACGTGAAGACTGTGCTCCACACCGATGGTCTCTGTTCCAAAAAGTGAGAGATTTCTGAGGCACTGTCGTAAGCTACTTGCCGAAACACGACAGAAGGACCAACGTCAGAAATAGGGAGAACTTCCTAATTTTTAAACCCAATGCATTTTCAGTGAATTTGTACCAATCCAAATGGAAAAAAAAATCCGTCAGATCTCCGGATGTTACCCACAGGCAGTGAAGAAATGGAAAAGCTTTCGGTTTTCTCACGGTTCTAAGTTATTAGTGACCATAGAGAACCATCTTCCCTGGGGGGACAGAACATTTCTAAGAATCACAACACTTCCCCTCTCTGGCAACCGGTGTGTATGTCGCGGGCCGGGAGAGAGCCTTCTGCCTCTCCGGACCCTCATTAAGCTACGCCTGCTCAGACAGACAAGGAGGCTGCACCTTCCGGGGTCGGTGGCCTGCTTCTCTGCGGGCCTCAAGCGCCCACGGGCTGCGGCGTCCGCAGGGGCGGGGCACCCAGCTCCTCGGCTGCACGGACCACGTGCGGCAGGGGCGGGGCACGCAGTCAGCGCTTGTAAGCGCGGCCTGGATAATGAACGCACAATGACTTACTGTGGACCGAAATCACCAGACGAGGTCAGGTGTCTGGCATCCCCGGAATGATTTCAAATGATTTCAGACCCTAGGTTTCCGAGGTCAAAGATTTGGGTTTTTCCCACGGTCACGTCAAACCTCGTCGCACGAAGGTTTAACTATAGGAATGAAGCCTCTGAAGGGAGGAGCTCCCAGATTGCTGGGCCAAAGCCAGATTCCCTTCCAGGCAGGAGGCGAAGGCGGGACGCGATGCGCAGACCAGACGGGGCCGAGCCCGCATCCCTGCGCCCTGGCAGCACCTCCCGGCCGGCAGCCGCCTACCTGAAGGAGGGGAGCCTGCTGCTCCGCGCTGGGGGTCTGGTCCCTCCAGGACTCCAGGGGGTTCCGTGCTCCAGCACTCGGGGTGGCCACGGGGAACTTGGCCGCCAGGGCTGGGCGGCCGGGCGCCGGCAACTGCCGCTCCTGTTGCACCGCCTGGAGCTTCCACAGCAGCTCCCGCGGGGAGACCTCGCTGGGCCCCAGGGGCTGACGGCCGGGCCCAGGGCCGGGGGGCGCTGGCCTCGGGAGTGCCCGGGGCCCCGACGTCTCGGCCGAGGCGTCTGGTGCCGGCGCCCCAGGGATGCTCTGGAGCTGGTCCGGCGGGTTCTGAGTCCTGGGGCCACTGTGCACGCGGCGGGAGACCTCGGGGCCGCGGGGAGACCCTGGCCGCGCGGCGTCTCTACAGGGCCGGCTCTCGGGCAGCTCTGCCAGCAGCTGCAGGTCCGCGCTCCCGACCAGGAGCTTCTGAATGGCAGGACAGAGCTGCTTCTCGACTGGGGGTGAGCATCTCCGGGGTTCCTCGTAGGACAGGGAGCGGACGACCCCCTGCCGAATCGGAAGCTTCTCTTGCTGCTGCTGGTGGAGGGTCTTTGGAGGCCCCGCGGGTTCGTGACACGTAGCTTTGTCCAGCTTCCTGAAGAGAGCCGTCAAGGACAGGTGTTGGGGTTCAGGGTCTAAGGTCTGGAACAAATAACCACGTCTGAAAATGGGGCCACATGTAATTTGGTTATATGGGGGGCAGTGAAACATAACTTACCTCCCCGATGATTTCTTCTGTTTACAGAGTCAATTAGAAAGGGTGAAGAAGCTTAGTGATAACAAACCCTACACATTTGGGGCCTCCTTTTTAACGCCAAAAATTTTCACAGCCTTCTCCCTCCCACCCCCAGGACGGCTGTTCAGTGATCAGTATCTGCTGATGGATGAACAGACACACGAACCCTGCTGGGCCCGGGGTTCACTGGGGACCACTGTGGCACAAAGCTACAGACACTGAAAGGCAAACGATCTCTTCAACAGGAAGCCCGTCTATCCCTGCAAAGTACAGGAAGACACTGAGGATTCGCAGAAACGTGAGGATTTCAGAATTCCTGGTAGTATTCCACAGAATTATAGAAATTGAGGGCTGGAAAGAAACCTAAGTCATTTAGTCTAACTTGATCCTTCCAACTACGTAACGGTAGCGATAACAACCCGTCAGATGCGTGACACCACAATCCTTGCCCCCCTGCGCCGCCCTGGCTTGTAACCGACCTGCTTCCTTCCCGCCCTGTGTCATCTGGCATTTCCCTGCTGCTTTCTGTCTTGCTGGGCTAAGCAAACATGAGATTCTCCTAAAGTCAACATATTCCGGTTTCTCTCTTAAAATAAAAAATGTCCATGAAAAGCAAACTTATAACAGAAGCTAAAAGATAATTAGAAAAGACTTATTTTTTACAAAATTCAATATAAGACTTGCATTAGCCAGTCTTTATGTTTTTGGTGTCCATGTTCATTTTTTTTTTTTTTTTTTTTTTTTTTTTTTTCGCGGGCCTCTCA